ATCGCGGGTAATTACCATAAGGGCGATTTTACTCTGCCGGGGAGTAAAAGGCGAGGAGGAGGTACAAGTCCTGCAGGAAAGTTTTATTTTACTTAATAATCGAGACCATTTTCCTCCACCTTTCTTATAGCTTTTTTTTTTTTTTTCCCGGGAGCGTGCACTCACCGTTTTGCGTTTGCGGGAATCTAGTCTCTGCTTTTGGCCTCGCCTTTTAAGTTTCGCCGACCGGTATTACTGGTTTTAAGACTCTTGAAACTTATAACAACTTTTAAGGACCTAGAGGTAGATTTCACACCTCGCACTTCAGAGGCGCACTGAAAAAAACGCGTTCGATCCTGGGGCGAGTGGAGACGTTAGCATGTTGTTGTCTTAAATCCATTGCTACTGTTCAATTGTAAACAGTTACCCAGGTGTTAGCCGATAGTTTTTGGTGGCATCTTAAGATGGAAGTATACCATAGACAGGACTGTGCTTTGAAATGAGCCGAAGTAGGATAACAGATCTTAACCTGTAAATTCAACGATGTAACCAAGACAGAAAATCAGTGTCGTGTGCACATACGAAATTTAAAAACTGCTATTGAGAACTTACGATTTTGTACACGTAATAAAGCCTGTAAGTCTGAAGATTTGCCGTGAGAAGGGACCCGGATATATGAAACGTACTAATAATATGGAAGGAGTATTTAAATGAACTGAATCTCATATTATTCTCAAAGAAAGTGTCAAGGAGATATGATCACGACGTCTAAAGTATAAATGGAAGCTGAACACTCGTACGATGTAAGGTTTGAGAAGTTGATTGAGTTAGTTGACAAAGTTATAGAAGCAAATGTCATTCATAATGGTGACATTCCCAGGGCCAGACTATCGTTGGCTGTTTGATTAATCCGGTTGTTAATGCCAGCGGTCCGTTGGCCTACATAGGCCTCACAACCTGACTGATCTAGTACCTGTCGCAGGTACACACATAAAAATGCTAAAAAGCTAAAAAGTCTCTACATTCAACGACTCATCCAGTTTTTCAGCAAAGTCAGACGAACTCATTTAAAGCCAAGTGTCAGTCAACCTGTCCCGGAAGACTCAGGCGGACGAATTTCTGGCACTGTGTGATCGACCTCGTACAATTCTTGGAATTATATTGGGGGGACGGAGAGGAGGGAGGGAGGGAGAGATGAAGAGGGAGGGAGGAAGGGGGAGATATGGAGAGGGAGAGATGGAGAGAGAGAGAGGTGGAGAGAGAGGTGGAGAGAGAGGTGGAGAGAGAGGTGGAGAGAGAGGTGGAGAGAGAGGTGGAGAGAGAGGTGGAAGGGAGAGGTGGAGAGAGAGGTGGAGAGAGAGGTGGAGAGAGAGGTGGAGAGAGAGGTGGAGAGAGAGGTGGAGAGAGAGGTGGAGAGAGAGGTGGAGAGAGAGAGGTGGAGAGAGAGGTGAGAGAGGAGGTGGAGAGAGAGGTGGAGAGAGAGGTGGAGAGAGAGGGGAGAGAGAGTGGAGAGAGAGGTGGAGAAGAGGGTGGAGAGAGAGAGTAGGAAGAGAGAGTGGAGAGAGAGTGGAGAGAGAGGTGGAGAGAGAGGAGAGAGAGAGTGGAGAGAGAGGAGAAGAGAGAGAGAAAGAGAGAAGAGAGAAGAGAGAGAGAAAGAGAAGAGAGAGAAGAGAGAGAGAAGAGAGAGAGAGAGAGAGAGAGAGAGAGAGAGAGAAACGAGAACTAAAGAGCATCATCATCATAACTCACGGTGTTAATACAAGAGAAATATTCAGAAGGAACTATGACAAACCAGAGAAACAGCGTCAGCCCATCAGCGATTTCATTCCTAATGTCCACAGTCAAGAATTTGTGTGCGACTTGGTAATATTGTCCTATGTTACCAAAAATCACATGTCAGTGGCCACCCATGGCCCTCCAGAACTACAACTAATGATGCCAATAGCAAAATCCCCCAACAAACACAGAATACAACCTCGTTTATATTTGCTAAAATACAGGGCCTTAAGCCATCCATCAACAACAAAATACCTTTTATCAGTGGACTTCTAGAGGAGTCTAATGCAATATGTGTAGCCTTCACAGAGACCCTACACAAAAGATCACTTGGACAGTGAAATATGGATATGTGGGTACAACATTTTTAGATGCGACAGAAAGAACAGGCAACAAGGGTTGGGGGGTTTGGCCTGTATGTCAAAGAGTCGCTCATCTGCACGGAGTTGCTGAACACCACAAATGATGTAGTTAAAGTTCTATCAGTAAAGATCGAGAACCAAAACCTAGTCATCGTGGTTGTATATAAGCCACCAAATGCAAAACGCATGTACCTATGAAGGTGTCTTCACAAAATACAACTTCAACAACATCATTATTAACTGGGACCAGGTAAACCATGACTTAAATGAAACATGTTGGGAAGATATCTTAAATAACATGGATCCAAACCAATGCCTTGAAAGGATCAACTTCATGGCAGCTGAAGCATGTTCTAGGAAAGAACAGCAGGAGTAAACTGGAGAAAGACGCTCCCTCTACAGAAGACGACGAAGAATCACTGAGCTCCTCATGAACGCTAGAATATCTGATACACGGAAGGAGGCGCTGACTCGGGAAGTGGGAACTATCGAACTTAAGTTAAAGGACTCTTACAGGAACCAGGAAGAGCTTAAAGCTATTAGTGAAATTAAAAGAAATTCGAAATATTTCTTTTCATATGCCAAAAACAAGGCAAATACCACATCTAGTATCGGGCCCTTACTCAGACAGGATGGGACTTACACAGATGACAAGGAAATGAGTGAAACATTGAAATCCCAGTACGACTCTGTGTTTAGTGAGCCACTAATCAGTCTGAGGACCGACGACCCAAATGGTTTCTTCATAAATGAGCCTCAAAACTCCATCGATGTATGCCAGATTTCCGACATTACCCAAACTCCGATAGACTTTGAAAAAGCCATTGACAGCATGCCCATGCACTCAGCCCCAGGACCAGACTCGTGGAACTCTATGTTCATTAAGAACTGCAAGAAACCCCTTTCACGTGCCCTATGTATACTGAGGAGAGGGAGCTTAGACATGGGTGAAATTCCAGTCACTTAAAACAACGGATATAGCCCCTCTCCAGAAAGGTGGCAGCAAAGCATTAGCTAAGAACTATAGACCAATAGCTCTAACGTCCCACATCATAATCTTTGAAAGAGTGCCAAGAAGCAGGATTGCAAACCACCTGGATTCCCAAAAACTGCACAATCCAGGGCAACATGGGTTCAGGGCAGGTCGCTCCTGCCTCTCAACTACTGGATCACTATGATATGGCCTTGGATGCACTGGAAGAAAATCAGAATGCAGATGTAGTATACACAGACTTTGCAAAAGCGTTTGACAGTTGCGATCATGGCGTAATAGCGCACAAAATACGTGCTAAAGGAATAACTGGCAAAGTGGAGAAATGGATCTTCAACTTCCTAACCAATCGAAAACAAAGAGTAGTGGTCAACAGAGTTAAATCGGAGGCTGCCATAGTGAAGAGCTCGGTTTCACAAGGTACAGTACTCGCCCCCATCCTATTCCTCATATCAAAGATGTAACCTACAGCACTATATCATCCTTTGCAGACGATACTAGGATCTGCATGAGGCTGTCATCTATTGAGGACACGGTTAACCTCCAAGGAGATATAGACAAAGTTTTCCAGTGGGCAACGGAAAACAATATGATGTTCAATGAGGACAAATTCCAACTACTCCGTTATGGAAAACTGGAGGAGATAATAACTAGAACAGTATACTACAAACTCTGGCCATACAACAGAGCGGAAAAATAATGTAAGGGACCTGGGAGTAGTAATGTCTGAGGATCTCACTTTCAAGGATCACAACAGTGCCACGATGGCAAGTGCAAAGAAAATGATAGGATGGATAATGAGAACGTTCAAAACGAGAGATGCCAAGCCAATGATGATCCTTTTCAAATCACTTGTTCTCTCTAGGCTGGAATACTGCTGTACATTAACATCTCCGTTCAAAGCAGGTGAAACTGCAGATCTAGAGAGTGTACAGAGAACCTTTATTGCACGTATAAGTTCTATCAAGCACCTTAACTACTGGAAACGCTTGGAAGCACTTGACTTGTACTCGTTGGAATGCAGGAGAGAGAGAGATATCATAATCTACACTTGGAAAATCCTGGAAGGAATGGTCCCGAATCTGCACACAGAAATCACTCCCTACGCAAGTAAAAGACTGGGCAGGCGATGCAAAATACCCCCAGTGAAAAGTAGGGGCGCCATTGGTACACTAAGAGAAAACACCCTAAGTGTCCGGGGCCCAAGACTGTTCAACAGCCTCCCATCAAGCATTAGGGGAATTACAAATAGACCCCTGGCTGCCTTCAAGAGAGAGCTGGACAGATACCTAAAGTCAGTGCCGGATCAGCCGGGCTGTGGCTCGTACGTTGGACTGAGTGCGGCCAGCAGTAACAGCCTGGTTGATCAGGCCCTGATCCACCGAGAGACCTGGTCGTGGACCGGGCCGCGGGAGTGTTGATCCCCTGAATAACCTCCAGGTAGACTCCAGGTAATGTGCTTAGTGTCTTAATTGCCTTATTTGAGCTGTGTGTTACTTACCTTCAGTCAAATGCTCTTGTCAAGGAAAACTTGGCGGTTTTTTTTACACAGTTAAATTTACAAGCTAAGAACTGTTATCTTACCCGAGCTCATATCAAAGCCCAAACCTATCTTAAGTTATCTTAACCCCATTCCTCCAGGGATGTGACCCACAACAGTCGACTAACACTCAGGTACCTACTTACTGCCAGTTGAAGAGTGGTGGAAAAATAAACACGGGGGTAACAGGTGTAAGGAAACATGCCAACCGTCCGTGGTACAATCTCCGTGCCGGGGATCGTACCACGGACCCTTAGCATGGGAAATGAGGGAATTACCGACTGAGCCATGAGGCACCCTAAAACAAAACAAAGAAAAACTCAGTTAGACAAGGAAGGTCTGAAATACATACAGTTTACACGGAGTGTGGTGGACTGACGCACGCTCTTCTCCAACGCTGGGTTGGAGGCCTGGCATGTGTACGTCAGCCCGTCGTCGGCAGCTGTTAGGTTGAGCGTCAGTACGTTGATGACTCGCGTGCCTGGTGGGAGCGACAGAGATGTGTTAGTGGTACAAGGCAAAGAAGGGAAAGGGAAGATGTGGAAGGAGAGCAATAGAGAACGAACGATAGAGTGAACAAAGGGGTGGGAGAAAGAGAAATAGAAATAGAAAGAAAAATAGAAAAATGAAAAAAGGGGAGAGATAAAAAATAGACAAAGACCTAACCTGTAAAATCATTGTGTAAAAGAAGAGCTTAGAGAGGAGAGAGAGAGAAAATGACATGACATGGGGCAGTTACACAGTAACTCCACAACAATTTAACTTTTCAATACAACTTTTCACCCTAAGCTTGGACGAAACGCTATATTCACAAATATTCTTTCCTAGTAGTGTTTTCATTCCCACTTCTCTTTTTCTTATTGTTTACCTAAAATCTTTGAGCACCAGTGGTAAAAACATAACTAACGCTCACACTGCGTCCCCTGAGCTACCATGCCTCATAATTCCCTCAACTTTCTTGAACTCAGCAGAGAATAGATCAAGTCAATTACACTCATCTATCATCCTAATCACGACGTATAAAGGGGCTCATCATTTTTAATCTGGCGACGAAATGGTTATATATATATATGAAGTGCCAATGAACTTGGCCCATATATCTTGGCAATGTATTTTGTGTATGATTTAAGAGGCAGATATGTTAGAGTACTCTGGGAGGCCTTCACGATCCACGTTTGTCTGTAGCCTCGCCATGTCCAAGTGTGACCATGTCCCAAGTGTGACTGTGGTCCAAGTGTGATCTTGTCCATGTGTGACGCTCTGTGACCTTGTCCCAAGAGTGACCTTGTCCCAAGTGTAATAAAAGCAACTACTACTTAAAAAAAAAAAAACCTAAACACTCGTTACAAATTCTATCATTCCAAGCTACAGTAACCATCATCAACAGGTCCTACCGAGCGAATCGTATTAACAGGATTACTAACGTGGCACATGCTTATTTTATACATTTGTGGGTATTATATACCATGTGTGACACATGCTTACCTCCGTTGGGAGTGAGGGAGGTTTCCTGGATGCGGCCGGCCATCTGGTAGCCGTCACGGAGCCAGGTGATGACAGCCGGAGGGTTGGAGGAACCTGCCTCGCAGGTGAGTATGGCCTGCGTGCCCGCTCGCAGCTGTCGGGGACTACCCGTGATCTGTCAGGAGACAGGTGCTCATGAGACGTAGGTGTGTAGTAAAATGGGTGGGTAGGTGTATGGTGAGATGGGGTGAATCGCTGTATCAAATACTTAGCAACATTTTAAAACAGACAATGAGGAAACCCTTAATAGCAGATGTTTTCCTTCAGGACTATATATATATATATATATATATTATATATATATATATATATATATATATATATATATATATATATATATATATATATTTATTTATTAAGTTCGTGCTCAAACTTTATCAAAAAAGATTTGAACAGTGTCCAAGCGAAGCTATCTGCTATTAAAGTTGCCCATACTGTTTGTGCGAGTCTTACTTTATTAAGAATCACAGCAAATATGTTGAGTTAGGCATAATAATTAAGGACAGTGTATCTACACGGCAAATTGAATTGCTTGTCATCTTAATGGCAATAAAGTTAACTTATGACACTGAGTGACTCCTTATCCCAGAACACACTTGACAAACATAATGACTTATAACATACTCATTAAAAAAACAGGGTTTAGATGTGAAATAAAAATGGGATTTAATGTTCAGTTCTTATGGATTCCAACACACATTCACTGAATTACTCCTTCATGATAAAGTTAATAAGTTACCGAAAGAAAGTATCTTGAAGGAAAAAAGTATAATATAACCCTGGAGAAGTAAATAATGAATTAATGTTGCAAGAATACAGACAGATGCCCGAGTTAATCTATAACTCTCTACTATAACATAAATGTAGATGGACACATTTACAGAGCACCTTGCCACCCAGACTTAGGCTTGGTTACAAGTATTTCTGGCAGTTTGCATACATACAGATGATTGAACCTTTCTTATCAGCCTTTTGTTCATTCTTGAACACTAAGTTTTTGATTGTCCATTTTTTGACGAATATACAAATAGTATTATAACCTATACCTTTGAAGAGTTTCGAGAGTTTATCTACTCTCTGAGCCCGGCCATGGGCCAGGCTCGTGTGAACAAATCACAGATAGTATTGTGGTCTGAACCTCATCCATTCCCTTTGTCTGCAATCGTATTTTTACGATTTAATGATTCAACCTATGTGGTATGAGAAGGTATTTTATTAATGAAAGTAAGATGCTAAACATTTTAAGTAAATACTATAAATTGGCTTGCAGTAGGCGAAACTTGGGATAATAACCACACGTGTTCCTATTAACCTCTTTTGGGGCCTAGTTCGTAGACATTTAGCATATCCATATGTTCTTGCGCTATCTTACACGGGATGACTATATGGTACACAACAAACTATCCGCCGTGAAAAAATCTAATCTAATATCTTTCACTTGTATCGATAATTTATACAACCTGTACCCATAATTTTAATATACAAAATATCTACAATAAAGCCTACGTTTGAAAATAATTTTCTTCCTAATTACGCTACGTATTACAAAGCCATCTATATCTAAATAAGAAAAGTTCCACACTTGTAATTGCTCTTAAAATTGGATGCATTCATCGATTTCCAGTATAATGAAAAAAATTTGCTTAAATTTTGTCTTCATTGGCCCTGGGGAACACAATAAAGACGGGGTGGAATGTTGTGAGTAAATTTTCCTGCAAGCGAAGGTATGAAGGAGGAGCGCCTGGGCGAGGAAGAATGTCAATAAGGAGCAGAGACTTCACCTACACGACCAACAGGAGCACGACCAGACACCTTAACGACCAATATGGGAACAAGTAACCTTCTGAGGCCACCATCAGAACGACTGGACACCATGATCAATAGACGAACGACAAGTCTTGGCGATCAACAGAACGACGAGACACCTTCACGACCAACATAACACGGACCACTGATTTCTATCAGAACAACACGGATCACTAAATTATATACCAAACAAATACGGAGCTCTGATACAGACATGAGCAACGCGAAGCACAAATTACGGACGTGAACTGGGAGCTGGACACTCCATTTACACCAACAAACTCAAGAGACTTTTTGGTGTAAATAAAAATACATCAAGCAAAATGTACTGTCAAAAAGATAAAAATTCGGTAACAGACTGATTTTTTTCTTAAACACACAACTACTCTCAAGCAATTATTGAAATTTTCCTTATACGAACTTTCAAAATTCTTCATAGAGAGATAATCCTCTCAAATTTTCTGCTAGACAGAAATCGTTAATGAAGACCACTTAAACTATTAAAGGCCTAAAGTTTTAATTGAGTACCCCAATTACTGCAAGATCGACCCCCCATCCCCCTCATGTTTCTCCCTCAAGACAAGGAAAAGGTACGATAAATCTCAGGTCAAAGGGAAATGTTGAGTTGTTAACCTTACAGCTAATGAAGATGGGAACCAAACACGTTATGTATCCCTACAGCTAACGAGGACGAGAACCAAACACGTTATACGTAACTCACGAAATCGTAATGACACGATTGCAAACAAACCATACCCCCGGCCGGGATTGAACCCGCGGTCATAGAGTCTCAAAACTCCAGCCCGTCGCGTTAGCCACTAGCCACTGGACGAATCTCATTGTAGCTAGCTGGTCTAGTGGCTAACGCGACGGGCTGGAGTTTTGAGACTATGACCGCGGGTTCAATCCCGGCCGGGGTATGGTACGTTATACGTATTTCCCTACAGCTAACGAAATGAGAGCTAAATATGCTATACCCCTGAATGTTTTTGGATTTTTTTTTACACTCCCGCAACCCAGCCTGTTGCTACACTTCTGTTGGACCACCTGGACTCGTAGGTTCACCCATCCCAGCCTGACTGATCAGGCTCCTCCTCCAGTCATTTTTACTGACGGTACTGTATGGACTCTGAGAGTACATGCCACTGAAGCGAAGTCTTTGCAGAATCGTTTTATAGCCAGTCAGGTTATGGGGTATTACCACATCAGGACTATCAGGACGTGACCGCGCACAACAGACTAGGAAGAGTTTCCTCTACCAGTCACTGCGTTAAATGATGTACACGAATTTAACACTTCATGAAGGAAGTAAAATTTATGACCCTGGCTCTCCAAACCTTGTTTCATTATTTTAACTATAATATACACACTTCGTAAAGCAGATTTCGTCTATTTTTTTTTTTTATGCTTCAGAGCATTCGTCATTCCACCATGGAACTGGGCATTTATCATTACATCATGGGACTAGCCATTTATTATCTCGCCATGAGGCTAGGTATTCATCATCCCAGCCATCCCAGACTGGGCACAGTCTAGCACTGCCATTCGTCTCTGGGTATTGATTAGGGCACTGAAGATCAAATAGTGTAGAAAAGCTGTTTGCATACATGTAAACATTAACATTCCAAGGAGATGGCCATGCGCTATGGACAATTATCATATTTATAGGTAAGAGGTTAGCCAGTAGTTTGGCGTCTCCCTGAACATCCTTGTAAACACGTCAAGGGCCCAGAACTCGAAGGTCCGTCTCTGAAGTTGATAAAATTGCAATACTAAACCATTCATCCAGTGGAAGTCTTCAGATGTTCTTCAGAAAAGTATAGCCAGATATTTGGTAAACATACTGACATGGCAATACTGCTGTTCTATTTTGGGTATATACATATTTACTCGAAATAAATATTTAAGATTTCCAGTTTTCTGACGGTATTTTCAATAGTTTGGAAACATGAGCTACCGTCACTGCCCCATAATCTATTACTAATAAAATCAATTAACGAAATATTTTTCTTCCATCTTTAAATGAAAAGGCTAAGAACTTACAGTACAACTCGTTTCAAAGCCCAGCCCTATAAGGTACACCGCTAACCTCCACAGGATGCGACCTACAATCGCCTAATGTCTAAGCATCTATTTACTGCTACGTGAACATAGGCAATAGATGCAAGAAATCATAGTCAATTGTTTTCTTTACGCCAGTCCCAGGATGGAACCAGGATATTTTTGCCTTGATAGCAGATCTTTTCAATTATCTGTTCAAAGATGAATATTAGAAAGTAAATACAATGAACAAACATGTGTGGTACATGTTGATACACAGTAACAACAGTTGCCCGTAATGTCGTTAGGATATTAACTAATACAATGGCTTCATTTCTCCTGAAAAAACAGTGGGTTTCCACCACTATAAATATTTCCTCTCACTTCAGATATGATAATGGGATTTAGGAGTTATTGCATAATTCTAATTCTGTATTATGATGTAACAAAACTCAGAATTTTTTTAATATACGTAATTTCAAATGAAGTGGTACACTATTTAAATGAAAATTTACTCACTCACTCTCACACATACATACATTCTCTCTTCTTTTTTTACACAGGGTTTGACAGGTTAAGGATCCCTAGCTTTATTGACAAGCTATTTACAGGTTAAGGATTCCTAACTTTATTGACAAGCTAAGAGCTGCTACCTACATCAGCTCATTTGAAAGCATTTTTATTGTTATGAGACATACAAGTAGGGAACAGGATGAAGTTGGAGCCATCTGTGGGCCAACATTTTCATTTGATCAACTATCTCGTTGACATCATTATGTTGTACGAATGTGTTCCAGACTCGAGTCATCCTGGGTATATATGATCTCAGATGGAGTGATGTTCTGGAGAAGGGTACAGCCAGAGTGAAGTTGCTGCTTTCTGCCCGTCTTGTGGCATCAAAGCTTGTTTAACGCTGTCCTCGAAGTGGATCCAAGTGTGGTACTTTGACAATATTGGCCTTGTACATAACAGTAAGGCCACCCACATCCCTCCTATGTTGAAGGCTCTGCTGAAATGACAGATCTATCCAGGATGGGTCCAGGCGAGAGATGAGACGTCTTGCTCTGTTCTCTACTCTGTCAAGCAGTCGCAGATCAGAGGGGAGGGCAGGCAAACCAAGAAAGTGGAACATACTCAAGGTGTGAGCGTACTTGTGCCTCGTACAGAATCTTGCAACCCCTACTGTCAAGTAGATGCGAAATACGGCGAAGTGCTGTAAACTTCCTGGCTGCCTTGTTTGCAAGATTTACAACATGGTTCTTCATGGTTAGTTTGGAGTCAAATTTCATCCCAAGGATATCAACTTCTTCTCCAGTGCCAACACTCTCCCATTCATCCTTACTACTGCACCAGCATTACCATCATGGTGCCTAGAGACGATCATCATTTGCGTTTTCTCAGGTGCAAATGTTACTTGCCATCTATTTCCCCAAGCTGATATAGCTCTCAGCTGGTGATTGATGTAGCTTAGAGCAGCTGGCATTTCTTCTCTTGGATAAGTGAATGTCAGTGTACAGTCGTCTGCATATGCATGTGATTCTGGGATGAGATGAAGAAGGTCGTTGAAGTAGACATTCCATAACAATGGTCCCAGCACGCTTCCTTGTGGAACACTTGCCCCAATAGGATGTCTTGCTGATTTCGTTCCATTCGAGAACTACACTACTCTCTACACTACTTTCTCTCTCTCTCTCTCTCTCTCTCTCTCTCTCTCTCTCTCTCTTTCTCTCTCCGTGAAGGGGTATTACAAGCAGATCCCTATCTTCCGATGGAACTTTATAAGTGCCTCAGGCCAGTTCCTGATCAGCCAGACTGTGGTGCCTACACTGGGCTGCGTGCGGCTGACGTCAGAGGCCTTAAAGATCTGGCTATCAACCAAGGGGCCTAGCCTGGAACAGGGTCGCGGAGGCAGTGATTTTCTTAATACACCGAAGGTAACTTACAGGTAAGGGAAAGGAGGGAATAGGGAAGAAAAGGGAAGGGTTATAAGCACACAATTTCACCCCTATCCCACCTGCCACGGAGAATGTGACTTGTGGTACACTCCTACGGTTGATGAAGATTACGACCAGAGTAGTTACACAGCCATTAAAGTGTCAGCCTCTCTCGAGACATCCAGATAATCTCATCCTAAATAACTTTCCAACTCTCTTAACGAAACCAATGATGACCAAGAACGCTCTCCACAATGCTTAAACATTCATAAACCTCAACTTTATTAATTAAGCGTTTTGACAACAATAAGCAAAAATTTGGGACACTAAATAACTCTTAAGTGACTTTGCAGCATTCACAATCCTGCTTTCATTTTCAGAATATTAAATATACAAGAGGAATAATCAGTCTCAGCCCCACTGAAAGTCTGCAGCTCAAAGTATCCCAATTCTCCTTGCAGAAGCAATAAAGTATTCATAACTTCCCTAAATCAGCAAAAATTCTTCCCAATACCGAACGGAAAGTGTACCTTGACAGTCTCCGGAGGAAAATGTACGACGAGGGTAGTGGAGACACTGACGGGGGAGGAGGCGGCGGCATTGTGGGCCTCACAGCGGTACTGGGCTCCGTTGTCTTGTGGCTCAGCCAAGATCTCCATCTCTGCTGAACTCTCGTCGTCGATACTGTGCTTCTGGGAGGGGATCTTCTGCCCGTTGCGGTACCACTGGAGATGCGCTGGAGGATTGCCGCCCCTCGACACACAAGTGATTCGCTGCAGGCTCCCCACGCGGATCCCAGATCCTTCGCTATATCCGTGGAGGATCGGCGGCTGCGGGGGTCCTGTGAAGGAGAAAAATGTGCCAAAAAAGAATCGTTAGTCAGCTTTCGATTTTTCCGTAAAATATGAGGCTGTGAGATAATCTTGATGTACCCAGGAAGCGGGTAAAAAGTGTGAAATGAAGAGAAGAGTCATGACTCTGTAAGACTGCATGCACACGAGTATCGAAGATGAAGGGAATATAGACAGCAACTAAAATATACAGCATCATATCAGCCACTAGCCTGGTAAAGGCAAGCATGTTAAGCCTTCACCTGGGAGACTGAAAAATCACTGAAAAAGAATAGACTTCCTACTTTCATGCCGTAAATCTCCCGTCAATCCCACATTTTTTTTTATCCATCTCCACTTTCAGCTACTTCAAGAACTCTTCCTTACAGGGTCTTACTTCAAAAATTACGACTTCTGCTTCTTCGCATTGCTTAAGTATAATGTTAAGATTAAAGTAAATAATAAAAGTGAATGACAGGAATGTAGTCAGAAGCCTGAATAGGTCTATCACTCACTTATAAAAAATAAGTATGTTTATTGAGCAACTTGTCATGCGTTCACATGACAAGTAATTTTATGGAACATCTTGTGTTTAAATGTCCACTAACTGAGACATACAGACTGTATAACAACCTGCGATAATTTCAAGGTATCTAATTAAGATACCCAAGACACCAAACACATGCAAATATCCCAATTCTGCTTATAAGAGAAGACAATTGTAGACACAGATGCATATGATCTTGCGCTGTTGTCCAAAAGATAAATATGAAATACACTCCTCCCTGTGTGTGTGTGTGTGTGTGTGTGTGTGTGTGTGTGTGTTTTGTATCGTCCTTTAACCTTCTCTTTCTTATATTTCTTTCCATCAAGTACTGCTTTACACCAGCTTCCATAGACGAACCTTGCCCTTTCCTCTCTTCTCTCTCTTGCTCATTACCCTTTTCCTCTTTCTTTTACCTCTTCTTCGCTTCTGTTCATCCCTTCTATCATTCTTCCCTCCGCTCCACCCATCCCTCTGGCTGTGGTTCGCTATCCCTCTTCTAATAACGTCACCACCTTCACCGCAGTCACATATATTGCGGTCAGGACACAGTCTAGAGAGGCTAGTTTTTTTTTTTTTTGTACCCTTGGGTCGCCAGAGATGTTATCAGCTTGTTAAAACCTCGTTAAGCTGAGAAAGGGAGGAGCTTTTAAAAGGTTACTCTGATAAGCGATTTCAGTGGACTGCAGCCATTTGAAAGACAGAGAGGGCAGAAAAAGGAGCTTTATTAAGACGTTTCTCTCAACGAGAGCTTTTAAAGCGAAACTCTCGTTCTATTACGTATTAGCAACTCAGTCTTTCAAACAGTTTGTGATGGATATGTGGGCCAGCGGGCCACCAGCAGCAACAGCCTGGCTGACCAGGCAAGTACAAAGGTTTATTAAAGGCATAACCGTAGTTAAATGAAATAAAATAGACGTTTTCCTGCTGTTGATTTTCCATTAGTAGCGAAAATTTGTTACAGAGAAAAATTAGGCGAAAACAAATCGTAAGCTAATTCTCTGAGTGGACAAAATGGGTCAAAACGTGTGTGTGTGTGTGTGTGTGTGTGTGTGTGTGTGTGTGTGTGTGTGTGTGTGTGTGTGTGTGTGTGTGTGTGTGTGAGAGAGAGAGAGAGAGAGAGAGAGAGAGAGAGAGAGAGAGAGAGAGAGAGAGAGAGAGAGAGAGAGAGAGAGAGAGAGAGAGAGAGAGAAAGGTTACTCTGCTGCTGATCTGTTGTTAAACCTCTCCACTAAGTGGCACCAGTCATTGGATGAATCCAAAGTCAGCTGTGTGGTAGTACTGGACATTGCTGGTGCTTTCGACCGGGTGTGGCACCAGGGCCTCTTAGCAAAACTTCAAGCACTGGGAATTGCAGGCTCTACACTATGTCTCCTCAGTGATTACCTTCATGGTAGATCTCTAAGTGTAGTTCTCAATGGAACGGAATCAGCAAGACATCCTATTGGGGCAAGTGTTCCACAAGGAAGCGTGCTGGGACCATTGTTATGGAATGTCTGTTTCAACGACCTTATTCATCTCGTCCCAGAATCACATGCATATACAGACGACTGTACACTGATATTCACTTACCCAAGAGAAGAAATGCCAGCAGCTCTAGGCTACATCAATCACCAGCTAAGAGCTATATCAGTTTGGGGAAATAGATGGCAAGAAACATTTGCACCTGAAAAACGCAAATGATGATCGTCTCTAGGCACCAAGATGGTAATGCTGGTGCAGTAGTAAGGATGAATGGGAGAGTGTTGGCACCTGGAGAAGAAGTTGATATCCTTGGGGTGAAATTTGACTCCAAACTAACCATGAAGAACCATGTTGTAAATCTTGCAAACAAGGCAGCCAGGAAGCTTACAGCACTTCGCTGTATCTCGCATCTGCTTGACAGTAGGGGTTGCAAGATTCTGTACGAGGCACAAGTACGCTCACACCTTGCATATGCTCCACTTTCTTGGTTTGCCTGCTCCCCTCTGATCTGCGACTGCTTGACAGAGTAGAGAACAGAGCAAGACGTCTCATCTCTCGCCTGGACCCATCCTGGATAGATCTGTCATTTCAGCAGTGCCTTCAACATAGGAGGGATGTGGGTGGCCTTACTGTTATGTACAAGGCCAATATTGTCGAAGTACCACACTTGGATCCACTTCAAGGACAGCGTGAAACAAGCTTTTATGCCACAAGATGGGCAGAAAGCAGCAACTTCACTCTGGCTGTACCCTTCTCCAGAACATCACTCCATCTGTTCAATGAGGACAAATTCCAACTACTCCGTTATGGAAAACTGGAGGAGATAATAACTAGAACAGAGTATACTACTGACTCCGGCCATACAATAGAGCGGAAAAATAATTAAGGGACCTGGGAGTAGTAATGTCTGAGGATCTCACTTTCAAGGATCACAACAGTGCCACGATCGCACGTGCAAAGAAAATGATAGGATGGATAATGAGAACTTTCAAAACGAGAGATGCCAAGCCCATGATGATCCTTTTCAAATCACTTGTTCTCTCTAGGCTGGAATACTGCTGTACATTAACATCTCCATTCAAAGCAGGTGAAATCGCAGATCTGGAGAGTGTACAGAGATCCTTTACTGCACGTATATTTCTGTCAAGCACCTTAACTACTGGGAACGCTTGGAAGCACTTGACTTGTACTCGTTGGAACGCAGGAGGGAGAGATATATCATAATCTACACTTGGAAAATCTTGGAAGGAATGGTCCCAAATCTGCACACAGAAATCACTCCCTACGAAAGTAAAAGACTGGGCAGGCGATGCAAAATGCCCCCAATAAAAAGTAGGGGCGCCATTGGTACACTAAGAGAAAACACCATAAGTGTTCGGGCCCCAAAACTGTTCAACAGCCTCCCATCAAGCATTAGGGGAATTGCCAATAAACCCCTGGCTGCCTTCAAGAGAGAGCTGGACAGATACCTAAAGTCAGTGCCGGATCAGCCGGGCTGTGGCTCGTACGTTGGACTGCGTGCGGCCAGCAGTAACAGCCTAGTTGATCAGGCCCTGATCCATCGGGAGGCCTGGTCATGGACCGGGCCGCGGGGGCGTTGATCCCCGGAATAACCTCCAGGTAACCTCCAGGTATACCCAGGATGACTCGAGTATGGAACACATTCGTACACCATAATGATGTCAACGAGATAAAGTCAGTTGATCAAATGAAAATGCTGGCCCACAGATGGCTCCAACGTCATCCTGTTCCCTACTTGTATGTCTCATAACAATAAAAATGCTTTCAAATGAGCTGATGTAGGTAACAGCTCTTAGCTTGCCAATAAAGTTAGGAATCCTTAACCTGTAAATAGCTTGTCAATAAAGCTAGGGATCCTTAACCTTGTCAAACCCTGTGTAAAAAGGGAGAGAGAGAGAGAGAGAGAGAGAGAGAGAGAGAGAGAGAGAGAGAGAGAGAGAGAGAGAGAGAGAGAGAGAGAGAGAGAGAGAGAGAGAGAGAGACAGACAGACAGACAGACAGACAGACAGACAGACAGAAAGAGAGATTTCTGGCAAGTCTTCAGGGAAGCACCAACGGCCTTGCGAGTGCGAGATTAACTTACGAAGGATCGAGCCTCCACTTCTTGCTCTAAATGGCCCACGCGGATTTAACGCTTTATCAGTCTGACAGGACTTACGTAAGCAAACAAATAGTAGATCCTCCAACGGGAATGGGACAAGCTGATGTTGGTGAATGACTTTTTGATCCAATGAATTAAGAGCTATCCTCCCCTTCCTCTGATCAATCCTGATTACCTCCCAATCGTCAGGCGTCGCATTACCCCTGTGGATTTTGCGCTGCTCCGTGAATGTTGATTAGAGAAAAATAATGGCTTGATACATCTAGGTTGTAGAATCAAGTATTAGTGCTCCTGGGTGTTAATGTATCACTTCATGTGCTACGATCATGTCAGACGATCTCATGTTTAAGGTAGACACAACAATGGTGTTATCGCGACTCCAAGAAAAATGATTAATGGGATAACTAGAACTCTGAAACCAAGAGATTTCAAGCCAATGATGACACTCTTCAAGTCACTTATCCTCGATGTGTTGGACTGCTGTGTTGGATTACTGCGTCATACTAACCGCCCCCTTCAAGGCAGGCGAAGTAGAACTGGAAAATGTACAGAGAACCTTCACAGCTCTCATTAACTCAGTCAATCGCCTAAATTACTGGGAGCGCTTGATGTCCCTCGCACTGTACTGTTTAATACGTAGGCGAGAATGACATAATCTACACCTGGAAAATACTGGAGAAAAAAATTGATCCCAAATCTGCGTGCCAAAATCATTAAATAGGATAAGAAGAGGTTGGCCCCTGGTGAAAAGCAGGGAAGCGAGAGCACACAGGATACTCTACAAGTGTCGAGAGATTACGACCCTTCAATACTCTCCTTTCCTGCACAAGGAGGATTACCAACAAACTCATGGCTCTCTTCAAGAGGGAACTCTGCAAATT